AAAGCAAGAGAAACAAAGTAGAGCGGGTGGCATTCAGTACATTCACATCACAGTATACCATCACCACCGTCGATCCACAGAACTATTTCTAATCTTCCCAGAATGACACTCCAAGCTTATGAAACAACACTCACTTGCCTCTCTGCCCAGACCCTGGCAGTCACCATTCTATTCTAGGACTACATTTTGACTCAGTTTCTCCTTGCTGACCCTTGGGATTGCTCATGTATACATAGGCCTTCTTGGATATGCAGGATTGGGTCCACTGTAGAGAAAACAGGGTTGTGGAAGGAAAGAGAAATGATAACATACACCAGTGAGGTCTGGCCTTCTATTCTGAAGCGTAGCAGCCCCACCAAAGATCTACCCAATTCTTCCTCATCACACGGGTGATTTTGCAAGGCATTTTCACATTCTAGATCCACAGTGGGCTACCCAGCCTGGCTTCATACTGCTTAACATCCCTCACGAGGCCTCTGTTTAGGGCCTGCACCCTCACAGCCTGGCACTCAAGTATGGTTGCCATGCCTTTAGACGTAAGCCAGCACTCAGCAGAACCTGGTCCTATCCTGCATTTATGTTTGCTTTGGGCTTAGGTTGAGATTTCTGTAACTTATACCAAAAGAATCGCTGTGCTCAGTCTGCAGGTAACTCTTTACATTTATAGACTTTGGGTCCATTTTAAATTTGCAGAAAAATTAGAGGGAAAAAAAGGAGTTCACACACACACACACACACACACACACACACACACACACACACACACTCCCTGAACCTCGGGCACATTGCTGTATTGTTAGCAGCTTGGGCTACCGTGGTACATTGCACATATTGTCACCACAGTTTCAGTTATGGTTTGTCTTTAGTTCTGTGCATTCCGTGGGCTTGTACAAGTGTATAGTACATGCACCCACAATATCACACCCTAAACCTCCTCCTCAGGCCACCATTCCTTCCTCTCTCCCTCTCCACCAAACACAAAGCAACAATCTTCACACTGGCTCCCTAGTTTCATCTTTTCCAGTCTTTTGATAGAAGTCATTTAGCATCTGGCCTTGTCAGTCACTTAGTAGCATGCATTAAAGCCTCCACTGTGTCTTTTTGGAACTTTATGGCATCCTTACCTTTATTTTTAACTACACAACAATACTCTAAAGAAATAAGCTGTCTAAGCTGGAAGAGGGTGGAGAAGTTCCTCCCTGCCTGTCTCCTTAGAGCACCTTCTGAACTCTTCACTGTCTCTTGTGATTTGAGCTTCTGTCATGACACGTGACCCACCTTACCCTCTAACAATGCTTGATTTTGTCTGATATTAACAGAGGTATGTCAGCTTCCTCTGGTTAGTGTCCACATGATGTATCTTTCTTGTTATCTCAGTTTCACCCTTCCTGTATTTGTCCTTAGACACACTTCTGTTAACATAGATCAGCCAGTCGATGGTGGGTCCCGGTTCCCTAATGTTAAACCAGTCCTCACTTTGGGAATAGACCCAGACTCCTGGTTGAGATACAGCATCATATGTCCCCAGCTGTCCTCTGTTTGCTAATGCTCTCCTCAGAGGACAGCAGTCAGGCTAGATGGATGAGGTGGCCCTCTACAATGGGACAAATTCTAAACAGCCTGAGTGTAACCCTCAGCTAATCATGTTCCCAACCACTGGAGTGGCTCTTATCCAACGCATAATAAGAGAGAAGTGTAGAGACCCAGACATTTAGCCTAATGAAGTAGGATCTCTGGTAGACCATGTAGAGACCAGTGTGTCCCTTGGGAGCAGACAGAGCTCTGCCACGACTATGTTACATTTGACTTCTCCTTCAGGCAGAAACTATTCCTTCCCTTCCTACCCACAGATGTTGGTCTTCAATAAATGCACTGCAAACCAATCTCCAGCCCAGCATTTACTTCTGGGGAACCAACATGGGCCACAACAGTGCAGTCCCAGGACCTGCAGGTGGTTTAGTGATCTGCTGTTGCCATGTTGGAAACATAAAAGTTTTATGGTCTAATAAACAAATATGCAGAAAAATAAGTCAGGAAAATTCTGTGATCAATCGTATTAATTATTCATTGAGTTACAGAAAATATAATTAAAAGGTATAATTTTATAATTTTTAATTTATGCTATTACTCATATACCATTATTTTCTTTACTATATTTTATAAGTCAAAACAAGTCTATGTGTATGTGTGGTGTATATATGTAGGTGTGAATGTGTATTTGTGTGTCTGTGTGTGTGTTTATGTGTGTGGTATATATAAATGTGTGTTTGTGTGTGTATATGTGTAGTGAATGTATGTATGTGTGTATGTATTGTATATGCAATGTATGTATGTGGGTGTATGTTTGTGTCTGTGTTTGTGTTTGTGTGTCTGTGTGTATATGTGTCGTAAATGTATGTAGGGGTGTGTGTATGTGTGTGTATGGTGTATGTATATAGGTGTATGTTTGTGGCTGTATGTGTCTCTGTGTGTGCTTGTGTGTGTGTGTGTGTGTGTGTGTGTGTGTGTGTGTGTGTGTGTGAAAGCCAAAGGTTGATGTTCAGTGGCAGGTTGGTTTGTGTGTTGGTGTGTATGTGTGTGTGGTGTATGTATGTAGGGGTGTGTGTGTGTATGTGTGTACGTGTGTGTGTGTGTGTATGTGTGTGTGTATGTGTGTATGTGTGTGTTTGTGTGTGGTGTGTGTTTGTGTGTGGATGTGTGTGAGTGAAAGCCAGAGGTTGATGTTCAATGGCTTCCTCAATCACTGCGCATCTTGCTTTTTTGAGACAGGGTCTCTCACTGAACCTGGACCTCACTGGTTCAGCTAGACTGACTGTCCATCAAGGCTGGGATTACAGGTATGTGCTGTCTAGATTTTATATAGATGCTAGGGATCCAAACTCAAGCATTTTACCAACCGCACCATCTCCCTAGCCTAGGAAAAAATAAGGGAATAGCTTTATATTTTAGTTTTGTGGTGCTCCTTTTTGTTGTGATGCTTGTGGTGGGGTCTAGGATATTAGGTTTCCCTTTCCTTGAACTCAGAATCCTCCTGTGTGATGTTACCAGCACTTTGGGAGGGGGTTGAAGATGACTACATTTTCTTTTTGCACAAAATTGTGGAAGTTATATTTTTACAACCCTGGGGTGCACATATGTTAATTTGGTTATTTCAAAAGTGCCCAGAAGAAAAGAGGAACGCTTGCCCTATTTGCTTTTGTGTAAACCTTAACACGAATGAACTCCAGGTGCTTCTGTAAGGGGTTTTAAATGTGTAAAACAGTGTCCTAGGGAAAATAGACAACAGAGGGAATACCATTAAGAGAGAAAAGGGTGATAAAATTGGAGAAGAGTCCTAAAGACTGATGCCAGATTGTGCCCACTTAACTCTGTTAAGTTCTGTTCCTGGCAAGGATGTAAATCACACAGCCAGCTATTTAAAACTGAGAGCAAAGCACACAGCCCAACCATAAAAAAACTAAAACTTAAGATGTCATTGATATGAGGCATTAAACTCCCTCCTTACACCAGAACTATGCTAATGCCATACACAAATTTGAATAATTGGAGACACCATGCAAACTCTTCCTTAAAATCGATGCTGGATGGCTCAGCTCTAGGGAGCTGGAACTGCTGTTTATTATCTGGGGTCCTCTGGAGAAGTGTCAATTTCTCAGACTCCTAAATAGAGGGAAACAATGTGGAGTTAATTAAAGTGTGCCAATCCAATCATTGCCCATAGGGTGTGGAACTAACGGGTCATTAGGAGAGCAGCAAAGGCTGGGACACTCGTAAACTGGTAAATCCAAACCACTCTTCAGTGATGATGAATACACAATTAAAAAAAAAGAGAGAGATTTTACAACATGGATATTTATTGTTCTTTTTGCATGGCCATCTTGTAGTTTTTTTTTTTTTTTTTTTCGGTTTTTCGAGACAGGGTTTCTCTGTGTAGCTTTGCGCCTTTCCTGGAGCTCACTTGGTAGCCCAGGCTGGCCTCGAACTCACAGAGATCCGCCTGGCTCTGCCTCCCGAGTGCTGGGACATCTTGTAGTTTTTTAAAAGCCTTGTCTGTGTGTGAAAAGAACTGCCACAGTTGAGAATCTTCTAGCTAAAGATAGCAGAAAAAAACAAGACAGTTTTCCTAAACATAGCTCAGATTAGAAAGTATATCCAGGGCCATACCACCCTGAATTCATCCCATCTCCACACTATCTCGGAAGCAAGCAGGATCAGACCTGGTTAGGACTTAGATGGAAGAAACTACTTATCAGATAGGGGAGAGAAAAAAAATCAACCGAAGAAACTTCGACCACAGAATGGGCACGACCTCAGGTGTGATCCCCAGTGCTGGAGCACACACACACACACACACACACACACACACACACACACACACACACACACACAGAGTAAACAAATATTGAATACTAATTAGCCTTTCTTTATTTTCAGAGTCATATGGATTAGTAATTCTAAAACTACTTTCTATGTATTCTTGGATTAAATATATAACAAGAAGATAGAAGGCATGTCTCTTATTTGAGAACTACAAAGACGGAAAGAAAAAGTGAAAATAAACCACGAGGTGCTCATTTTGAATTATAGGACAACTTGAACTCACATAGCAAAGTGTAAATTTTTATGGCTAAACTATGTTTTACTTATTCACTCTGATAAGCATAAAGTGAGTATGTATTTACATACCTAATTTCTTTGCTCACATTTAATTTTATTTTGACTTTTTAATACTACCCAACACAATATGTATTTCATTTTGTATTTCATTTATGTCTTTATTACTGTTTGTTGCTGCTTTTATTTTATTTACTGAAAGTGAGAAGGCACTTTTGTGACCTATTTCTTTTTCTTCTGTAGGTCTTAAACTTACTAAATTTGAGACATCTAAGCAGGCTAAAGGGAAAGGGGCGTAGTTCAGAGTCACTTTGGAAAAAGAAAAGGTTGCATCGTTAATGGTGCCCTATGGTGAATGGTGAACTGGTTGTACAATTACATTTCATTCTTAGTTAATTGTGCTTAAGGCTGAATTAAATTTGTGTGTTCCCTTCTTAGAGCAGCTCCTATTGGCAGAGATGCATGAACTGGATGATGTCATGGCAGTCACTGAAGATGTTCTCAGTGTCCAGGGCACAGGTAAAGTAAGGGTCGCAGTAGTAGTGCCCATCTCCACTAGCAACGCTAATTCTCAGAAACTCATCCCGGATGAAGTAGCTGCTAACCCAAGGAGGTCGTAGGTCCTCTCCAGGTTGGGGAGTCACATCCTCAAGAAGAGTGTGGAGGGCGAACTCAAAGTAGTCCTCGATCTTGGATTTCCCGGTGAGGACTTTCTCAGCAAGCAGGTCTTGCTTGTTAAGGAAGAGGATCGAAGAGGCAGTGTGCAGCCATCTGTGATGCTCTTGAAGAGGTTCAGAGCCTCCTGCGGGCGTATGGTCTGTGTTATCCTCCCTCGTGGTCCAAGATGTCGGCAGTCACATCACGGCCGCGTTCATGGTGCTGCCCACTTCCAAGAAGTAGAAGTTAACTTTGTCCACCTGGAACTTGGTCTCAAAGATTCCAGAGGTCAGCATTCGGCAGAGAAGCAGGTCCTGGTCACTTGGCACATAGTCAGGCTGCTCGATCACACTGACCCTGTCCAGGAAGCACTGGGCTCAATCCGGAGGCATGCAATCCCTCCACCTCCCACAGGGCCTTGGCGTGCTGGTAGAATTCACGTGGGAAGTCAGAGTTCTACACATTCAGCTCAGAGGGTGCCCACTGGTTCTCAGGTTTGGCCAGCTTTGAAGGGGGCACCGGGCTGCTCATGGAGGCAACAATGGTTTCAGAGGCCTCCTTCGGGTTGTTTTTGATGACCTGCACTTTGGTGGCCTTCTCTCTATCTCCATTAAACCCATTATCCTGTGAAGCAGGATACTCATCTGCTTCACAATCGTGAATCTCCTGCACCCAGCAGCAGGTGGTGACAGGTAACCCTGCTTGTCCTTCTACAGCTGCTTCTCCGTCTTTCCTTGACCTCTCACAGGCCCTTCTCATTGCACTGGTGCTTGGCCTTACTGCCTCAGAAGCAGCCCATGACCGCAACGGGGCAGGGCCAGGCTGCAGGATGGCTAGGACAGGACCAGGGGCCTCAGGCGGGCCTGGAGAGCAAAATCACCAGAGGATGGTGGCTTGGACCAAGGTGAGAGCATGGTTCTCCACCCCGGGCAGCCCCGAGGTGGTGACAACCCCTCTTATATACCTAATTTGTTTGTTGGCTGATTATTGTTGTTGTTTTTTGCTTTTCAAGACACGGTTTCCCTGTGTAGCCCTGACTGACCTGAAACTAGCTCTGTAGACCAGGCTGGCCTTGAACTCACAAAGATCAGCCTGCCTGTGCCTCCGGAATGCTGGTGTCAAAGGTGTGCACCACCACCACCTGGCATGTACCCAATTTTTTATGATTTGCTTAATGAATGAAAGAACCATCCAGATAAAAAAGCTTGTTCAGGGGGCTGGAGAGATGGCTCAGAGGTTAAGAGCACTGCTTCTTCTTCCAAAGGTCCTGAGTTCAATTCCCAGCAACCACATGGTGCCTCACAACCATCTATAATGAGATCTGGTGCCCTCTTCTGGCCTGCAGGGATATGTGCAGACAGAATACTGTATGCTTAATAAATAAATCAATCAAAGAAAAAAAAAAAAAAAGCTTGTTCAAAGAAGCACAAATTGGTTAATACCGCACAGGGCAAGAAAACTGGGAATTTCTAAATTTGGTTTTTGTTTTGAGATTTGTATCCATTTTCATTGCTTTTCTTTTTAACCTGATAGAAACTATTTACACCTGTAATGGATTTAAAAATCTACATGTCAAAATATGACTTTAGAGACTCATGACCCTCTTCCATAGTGAATAACAAACTAAAAAAGGCAATTTATACTTTACTAGAGAATGAAAATATCCTTGGGTGAGCCTGTTTACTGGACACTGTCTATACACAGGAGAGTTCTGCCTGCCTCAAGGACCAGGAAATAAGGTTACTTCCCTAGCAATCAATGCTCAGCTCTCAGTTTCTCCATGAAAGAGACCATGGATTCTCAAGAAACAGTTCATTTCCAGGCAGACAACAGAACACCTGTAAGAAGACGCTAGAATGTTCTTTTGTTCTCCGTGAATGATGAGGACGTGACAGGAGAGCAGAGGAGGTGGCTTGAAGGGACAGATCCTTGTAAAAACCAGGGCCAAAGGGAGCATCAAAATAAATAATAATGGTAATGCATTCTAAGGCATGAATAAAGTGAGACTCCATGTGTCCTTATCTGCATAAGGGCTGGAAGGAAGGCTCCTTCTAATCATGAAGTGGCAACCAGCAAGGAAGAAGACCTCGCTAAAGACTTGCAGCACTGACTGTAACAATCGTGACAGCGGTTGATTCAGACAAGAAATGCTGATGAAGGCTGTTGTGAGGCATCCACCAGAGAAGACCACTCGGACATGGGTTTAAGACCGTACAAAGTCTTTATTAGCCTGCCCGTGACTACACTGGGTGTTCAGGACCGCAGAGTAACCCAGCCTTTCCCACAGTGAGCTTTTAAGCACAAAAACCATGTCCTGGCTTGACATACTTAGTTAACAGGAAAAGTTAGCCAGAAGCAGAACCACAGAAGTCAAAGAGACTTTCCCAGAACAATATGCACGTTGATGGATTCGGTCTTTGTTTTAGTTTTGGCAGATGATACTGTCTACATGCTGGGCTTTACATCCTGAATGGTACTTCTACCCTGGAGTCAGTTGTGCTAAGGTCTTGGGGGCCCTGTTACAAAGGTTAAAACTGGTAGGTGGAAGCTTGATGAGGAAAAGCGTGTGGTGTCAAAATATTTCCCAACGAATGACTGATTAATTGCAAAGGGGGAAATAACTTGGTAATGGAGAAACTGGCAGTCCCTGCCCTGCCTAGTTGATCAAAACTAGCATCATGAGAAATGAAACAAATCAATGTCACATGCCTCCTTAAAGCAATGTCCTACAAAGGGCACACCACTCAAAATCATATCTCAATCTTGGGCAAAGAGCAAAGAAACCCAAATTGAAGGCATTGCACCAACCATATTCTGTGTTCTTTTAAAATGTCATGGTCGTGAAAGACAATATAAGCTGAGAAACCTCTGTGGCTTAAAGAAGACTGAAAGACATAACATCTGAATGCATTCCATTGCCTGCACTGGGCCCTTTACCAGGGAATGTTCCCACAGCCATAAAAGAAACTAGTGAATTTAATATATAAACTATGGGTTAGATGGTAACAATATACCAGTGTTAAGTATTTATACTAGTCTTTAATACACCTTCAACTATTTTCTTTAATATACCTTCAACTATTTTAGGGGTAAACAGCCTAATGTCTGCAACCAGTTCTCACGTGTTAAGAAACAGGGACTGCCAAAGCCTTATCTGATGGGAACAGCAGGAGTCATAAAGCCAGCACAGCTGCTTGACAAAGATCCAGCAGAGCTGAGCCACATGATGGCTGCCATGCCACCTTTGGTTTTCATCTCCACCTGTTACATACTTGGGGGACTTTTGATATTTGTACAATTTAGGGATATTGGATTGACAGAAAAATTTTTATGAATCATTTATGCCTTCTCCCAGGAATCCTGTTTCTAAGCTTCCCCAGGAAAGTCCTGAATATACTACCCCTCCCGATTTGAGGAAGATATCCTTATCTATTTGAACTTTTTCCTTATGCCTTGGAGGTTGTGACACACATAAAGAAGTCAGAGGTCTCTTCATGAGGCTATGAGATAGTCTTGAAACATCTGTCCCTCTACTTATACAGGAACAAGATATTCAAAACAAAGTAAACTTTAAAAGGTCAACAAGATTCGGTGGGCTAGAGAAGTTGGCAGTTCAGATTACAAGCCTCTTCCCACTGTACACTCAGACAATTATGTGGCATACAACTCTGCCCTACACAGAGATATATTGATGAGCAAAGTATGGAGTGGAAAGATAATGAAAGAATGAGAAGTCAGGACCTCCCTCTCTTAGAAGTTAGCACATGCAGAGTCACTGTGGTGTCATGTGACCAAGGAACAACGGAATGCCAGAAATAGACATCTAGACCAATTCTATAAAGATATAAAATATAAATATTGTATTATGCCAGAATTTGAATAATAACTGCAGCAGCTTTGGCCTGGGGATTGTTCTTGGGCACTCTGACCACTAAGAGTTAATAATACACTGCTTGGCAATATGCATGGCATATGCCTGAGCTGGCTTGAAGATTTTGTTTTGGTCTAGCATCCTTGAAGCAACCAGAGCTATCAGCCTGAGAACAGGTTGTCATATGCTTCTAGGTTCTTAAAAATTGGGTTATAGGGTTTATGACTAAAGATGATAACTCTGTTTATTAATGATGTCAAAACTTGAGGGAAAATGATTAGAAATGATAACTCTGTTCTGTCACTGTTTATTAATGATGACTAAAAGCTAAGCAAGAGGAAGTGAAACACATGTCCCAAACAAAAATGATATGATCTATGTTGGAATATCATGAATTTATCCCTGCTTATTAAATTCTGTATAAAGAAGCACTCCAGCTGCTAGTCAGTCAGGCTGCAAGATTCTCACCATCACCATGGCCTGGCTCATTCACCACCACCACCCCGCCCCACCCCCATCCCAGGCAACTTCTTACTTCCTCTGCAGGTCTGTAGGAACCTGTTCACCACCAGGAATGGCTCTCGGCAAGGGACACACAGAGGCACACACATATGCATATAAATAATGATATATGTATGTGATATGCATATAATAGTAGGTAAGTAAATAGATGGTAGAGATACAATAGGTAGATATAGACAGTAGAACAAAGCAAAAAAAAAAAAGTCAAGCAATTGGTAAATCTGGGCAAATGATATACGCAGGGGTGTTTGGTACTATTTTTCCATAAGTTTAAAATGTATTACACAAGTCTATTTTCATCACTATAACGACATGCCTGAGGCTAACTTTAGGGGGAAAGCCTGTTTGGGTTCACAGTTCTGAAAGTATAAGGCCTAAAGGCCTCACCTCATACAGCCTTCTCTTGAAAGCGTGCGTGCGTGTGTGCGTGCGTGCGTGCGTGTGTGTGTGTGTGTGTGTGTGTGTGTGTGTGTGTGTGTCCATCCTGGAGCTTGCACATGCACCTCCTCTCTTTAAAGCCCCTCCCACAGTCACGAGATCAGCCCCAAACACCTCACCTAATCCCAACCACTTCCATGGTCTCACCTCTAAACACCACAAGGGGCTGAAGTTCTCTGCTCCATAATGCCTTGGGGTAGCAATTACACCAAAGTTTTTTCAGCCTACGGGTCACTCACATCACATGCAAACCACAGTGTTCGTCAAGAGAAAAGTCCTCCATGAAAACCAAGAAAGACTGGGCCAGCCTCATCACAGCCCAGGGTGGGTCTTGGACCAATGGTCTGCCAGCAACCAAGAACAACAATCCACAATTCCCCAATCAGGGAACAAATAATGGGTCACTGTCCTCCCCTTTGGGTCACTAGATAGAAAGGGTCAGAGTGGCAAATCGCTCCCAGCACACAGGGTCCAGGAGTCTTTGAAAGAGGGAAGAATAGCCCCAAGTCACAGCAGCGTCACCACTGACACCAGTGGAGAGAGATCTTCCCTCCTCTGGTCCCTGACACGCTAAGCTACAGGATCTGCCTGTCGGAAATGTGGTCTGACCCTCGGTGCTGTGAGTCTGGGTCTTCCTGCAGCAAGTATGAGGACAAAGAAGAGAACCATAGCTCCAGCCATCAGTGGCAGGTGACCCGGCATGTTCTCATGAAAGAAAGAAAATATTCTCCAAGATTAAACCTCCAGGTTCAAAAACCACAGAGGGCTGGGAGGAAAGGGGACTGTGCTGAAATGTGTAGAACATGCTAGAAAGACTTAAACCTAACAAGGAGATTTGTGGCCCCAGCAAGAGGGGTAGTGATCAACGTAAAAAACAGATGCAACAAAAAGATACAATCCCTCTAAGCCTAACTAGAAGTCACAGGAATTTACCTGCATGATGACAACATCACAAAACAGAACACCTGGCTGTGTCACCTCAGAGGAGGGTCACACTCCTCT